TTTTTTTCAGAACTGGGAATTGAACTCAGGCCCTTGCGCTTATTCTACTGAGCCATCTCCCCAGCCCCTGAAAATATTTTTATAAAAAATAAACAATGTTCAAAAAGCAAATAACATTACTATAAGTAAAATACTTGCTATAATTTATTTTCTAAATACACTTAGCATGGGCTTTACTACTATCTTTTATAAGTCATCTTTCTAGTAGTGCTGCTAAACAAAAGTTCACAGAAGTATTTAGCTTAAATTCAAATTTACTACGAACTATATAATTTCCAGGGACCAGGGATTTAACTCAGTGGCACAATACCTGCCTGGCAAGCATGAAGTTGTGAGTTCAATTCCCAGTACAAGAAAGAAAAAAAGCAAGAAAGCAAGCAAGCAAAAAAGAGAGGAATATATATAATTTCTTTTTTATTAGGTCCATTAATTTACTTGTGTGTGAGAGACAGAGACAGACAGAGGCAGAGACAGAGATGTTATAGTTCATGTCTGATGTCTCCCCGAAGCCTCATCCTGTCTTAGGGATTTTTCAGTCGTGGCTGAATCTAGAGTGTGTAACACATGGGATTGAGGACATGTGATTACTAAATCAGTCCACTGATTGGATTGGCACCACCCTAATCCCAGTAGACTGGATATAATATAAGGCATAAGAAAATATTTGTCTTCCCTTCCCCCTCTTGTTACGTTGGCTACTTCTGCCACCATGAACTGTAGCCCCTCTGCCATGTGCCACCCACCTTGGAGCCAGCCAATGAAATATCTACAAACTGTGAGCCAAAGAAACCTTTCCCCCTTTAACTTGGGGTGTCGGGTATTTGTCTCCGCAATGAGATGAAAAACTAAGACAAATTGCTACTCAGAATATAAAATAATGATCATAGGGAAATAAATGAGGAAGAGAAGAGGTGTAGGGGGAGAGAGGAAGAATGGGGAGGAGGAGAGGAAAGAGAAAGAGGATAAGGAAGAAAAAGGAGGGGAAAGAGGAAGAGAAGGAAAAAAAGAGATAGAAGAAAGGGAAAAGGGAGCAAGAACATAATATAAGAATGTACAGGCAAACAAAGTAAAAAGCAATTTCTAGGAAAATGAGGCTAGATGTTTAAATTACTGATAATGTCCCTGTCTATACATTTGGAGAAGAAATAATAGTAGCTCTATCGTTTTTCATTTCCACACACTTCTAAAAGAAAATGTTGATAGACTGTAATATTAAAGGAAAAAATAATTTAAAATGTAATCCATTTATTTTATATATAAATAAAAGCTCCTTGGAAGCAGTAATAAAAATGAGATGGAAACTAAAGTAATTTACTTGCATTTTCTTCCAGAAGCTATTTCTTTGTTTGGTAGATAAACAGATTATAACTAACATTTTTTATCCCACAACTGCCATAAAATACCCAATTTCTTAATAAATCCAATAATGATGTATAGAAATAAAACATTTTTGATGAAAATAGTCAATCTTTAAGTGTATATAAAATCTGATTTTTATTGTAAATAGTACCAAAAAACCTGATGGTAAGAATCTAATCAAAAACTCAAATGCACAAGAGATCAGTGACTTTTTTTTTCCCCCTAACACAGACCAATTTCAAAGCAAATTTAATTTGCATTGCTAAGAAGATGGTTAACTTCTCTAAATTCAATTGGGATAACAATATTCTTTATGTAGTATACACCATTAAGCAAAATAAAGTGTTCCTTCTGTAGACTTCCAAGAAGACCTAGAAGTAAAAGTGTTATAATTTGAAGTACTTAAAAGCCTAAAAATATCTATTTAATGAGTCAAGCAGTGAACTTATTTTTGATAGTTAAGTAGATAATCAAAGCAGAATTAACAGTTTTTATAGACAAGATAATCTTTTTTTTTTTTTTTCCAGTTCAAACTTCCCAGGAACCTACAAACCAATGTTTTACTCAGTGAAGGACATTCAATGGGCTTAAAGTAAAACTCCAACATCGTATGAGCATTTATTAAGACCAAAGGGAATGCACAGAAACACCAGTCCTTGACGAGACCTGGGGCCCAGACAAAGGCTGGCGCTGCACTCTGGTACCTGAATGACCGCATTGCAGAACTCCAGAGAGTTCAGGAACTGCACAAGGGCAGGAAGCAGGAGCCAGTCGTCCTTCAGCAGGCAGTGCCATTCCTCGCCTTTCTCTTCCAGCTTCGTGGGCAGAGAGGAGTACAGCCCACTGAGACCGGTTGCAAGTACCTGTGTTCAGAAGAGAATGGTAATAGTCTTTTCTCAGATTCGAAACCTGCAATTAACAGCTCACAGGCAGTACTCACATAATTAGTCCAAAGCCTGAACTCTGTGCAACGAGGTATTACAGGTATTAAAGGAGCAGAACTAGAAAGGATTCAACAGGTGGGAAGGACTGCATTCATAGGTGGAACAGCAGCCTCACATCCTCCACACGCAGCTGACAGGGGCTGCCCATCAATGGCATGCCAGGCACTGCGCTCAGCTAGGACTGGGGAAGGGAAAGGATAAAACTAGGACAAGAAAAACTTGATTCTTGCCCCCCTAAGTTATGCATGATGGGGACGAATTCATGCATAATGTCACACAATTCAGTGTGAATAAAGTTCAGTGAGTATGAATACACACAAGTATTTCAGTGCAAATACCTGGGTCTACCTACCAAAGCCCCAGACTAAGACAATCTAGAACAGAAGGAAGCACAGGTAAGGAACATGCATAGCTTTGCTGGAGATGTTCCCTGGGATTCTTTGTATGTTTAAGACCATGATTGACATGTGCTTACAGGTTCAAACACTTCTCTATATATTATTTCATCTGATCTTTACAAACCATGGCAAAAAGAAAGAACAGGTCAGTTCAATGGGATGAGATGAGTTCAAAGCTGGAACAATTCTATGCTGACGCATTAGGAGGGGGAAAACAGGAGAAAATAAATCTGAGCCTCACAAGTGAGATAGATGTGAGCATAATCTAACTGCAATATCTGGTATTAACCTGAGGCTTATTGCCTTCCAAACCCTAAAATTACACTGGTGACATTTGGTGAGTGAGGGTGAATGAGCATCCAGAACTGTCAAGTTATCCAATTTTGTCATTAGAAAAATTGTAATGCCTTTAACAAAGAGACAAACACAACACCAAGCGCTAGCAATTTTATCTTATAGAGTATAAGACAAGGAAAACAAGGAATTCCACAGGGCTCGAGGCCTTCTGATTGGGAAGGGATGCTAGCCAAGCAGCACCATAGACATTCTGACCTGTCAGATGCACATGGAGTGAAAAGGAAGTAGCTAAAAAAGGCACAGGCTGTGATGAACTTAAATGAGATGGTAACATCCAAGAAAATATACTGAAGTAGGGGTCCACAAAAGAAATAGGGGTACTGTTTTCATTATCTAAGGAGAGGGGCTGGGGAAATAGCTCTGTAGAATAAGTTCTGCCTGGCAAGGGCAAGGACCTGAGTTCAATCCCCAGTACTGCAAAAATAATCATCATCATCATCACCTTCATCTAATGAGAGATAAGAAGGCAACCAGAGCAGGGTTAGGAATGCTCAGAACAAGCTAGGCATTGTGGCTCACACCTGTAGTCTCTGCATTGTGGGAGGATTAACAAAGTTTGAGCCCAGCCTAGACAATTTGTACACTTAGCTTATAACAAAAGGGTTTGGGATATAGCTCAGTACAAAGTCTGAACAGTTCATTAATGGAAGGAGGGAAGGACTCAGAACATGCAATGGTAAATACACAATGCTGTGGCTCTTATAAAAAGGCTCTTAATTCAGATGTGGGGGAAGAGCAGCAGCAGGAAATGCTCTAAGAAGTTCTGTCCAAGTTGCTGAAGAACAAACAAGAGCCATCCAGACAAAGAGTGGTGGAAGACTTCCAAGCAGAGAAAATAGCACATACAACAGCTCAAAGGAGAAAGAAAAGGTGGTGTCCTCCAGAAATTAGAAAAGCATAGCTCTGTTAGAATAAAAAGTACAGGCAGAAACGGCGCCTAGGTATATAAGAGCTAGAGCCTACAGTTTTATAGGTCATGATCAAGAGCTTGTGTGGCACCCAAATGTACAGCCTGAGAGACAGCTATGTGGGTCTAGGGTTTGGAACAGTTCCAGGCTAGAGGTGACCGTTTGAAGTCATCCACACATGAATGGTGCATGAAGCACATAAACCAGAGAGAAAAAAGCGGAGACAGGTAGGTGAGAGATGGTAAAGTAACCCACAGAGCCTGACTGGAGAAGGGTCCAGTACACTCTGGAGAAAATGTTCCTAGAGACCTAATGTTGCCTCTCCTCTTCCCCATCCTGTCCCCTCAGCGCTCTGTAGCCTGCTATACAGCAGTCAGCACTTGGCATTTATGACTTTATTGTCTGTCTGTTCCATCTCATTGCTCTGACTTGCTCACTCTAGTCTTAGCTGGAGAGATGGGATACTGTGGAGTCAGGTGTGCCAAGTTTCAGACCCCATGAGCTCCACCATGAGAGGACAAGCCTGGTGGCTTGGCACAGAGGACAGACAAGGCCATGGGAGGGATACAGAAAGGTGAGGACACAGTACAGGGGCTCACTCTGCTGACCAAAGGGCAATGACAGAAATAATGAATTAGCCCATTATTACAGACATAAAAAGATGATAAACTCTGTCATATTTCCTAGTAGGCTTTATTCAAGTATATGTTCACTCATTCATTAAAAAATATTAAGCATCTAATCTTATGCCAGGCACTGTGTCATGTACAGGAAATTCAACAGTAAGTAATATCACACCTTTTTGTCTTTTCAAAATCAGGGCATCTGTGATCCCAAAGGAAAGTGCTCCCTATTTAAGTACTTAACTCCTTGTCAACATACCCAAACAAATCACTTTAATTTAATTTTGAATGTGACCCAAATGAGTGGCCTATTATAATTTAGAAACCTCTGGTAAAAGAGAATAGAGCTCAAAAGTTCTCCTTGAAGAGAAATCCAATCTTGATGCCACATTTTTAAAATCAATTACATTTGCTAACTCATGCTAAATGAACCACAGAACAAAGGGTTTAATTCTGCATACTCCTGGTTTCTTAACCACTTTGAGGCTTTGAAGATGAATTCATAAAGACAGGCTTAATTTGTCTGACTAAAAAGCTGGGAATAACTATTCAGTATATCAATATAATTACAGCAACATTAATTTTCAAATTACATACATCAGTGACAGTAATTAAAAATAACACATACCTAATACTCACTTTTTAAAATGACTCTGCTGAAGAGGGCATGGCTGAGATAGGAAAGGAGGGAAGCCCGCCCAAATGGAAGGATGCTGCCTGTCCAGAAGGGGGCACCCTAGGCACTGCGGTGGCCCGCTTGGGGGGAGGCTGCCCAGACAGTGGGCAAGGCAGCCTCTCTGCTGTTCTCTGAATTGCAAAGAAACACAGGAGAAAGCATTCTGCAGAATGAAGAGTATCACACGGTCTCGGGAACAAGATCCCCAGGCTAGTATTTCTGCCCTCCCTTCTGATGCTCTGGTCAGCCTTCAGACTCCTTCCCCCAGACAACACATTTCTAGAACACGGTCTGGGGCACAGGCACAGGCAAGGTTGGCACTGGGGTGAGACTAGGGAACAATTCAGACCCAGTGGCATGGAGAGGAGCACCCGGAAGGTAATAATACGTGTGAGATGGATGACTGTTACCAGAAGGAATATGGCAGTGCTGTGGGAACAGCCAGAAAAAGGGAACAGTAATGACAAGTCTGCAGGATTTTTCCCCCAAGTTTTAGGGCTCAATAGCATCATCTGTTGTACTTACTTGTATAGTTTTTAGCTTAAAAATGAAATTATAAAAGCTTTAGTTATATTTAATAGCAAATTAAAACTAAATACCACTCCACTATTTTAGCCTCTTCCTGATTCAGACCACAAAAAATAATTATAAAACATTATATTCCCAGAACAGGAAATGTTAACCTAATACTTATCATTATTTTCTAAGAATGTGCTTTAAAGAAACTAAACGCTATTAAGCCACATGGGTAACAACAGACAAAAAGCAGAGAACTTCCCTCAGAGCACTGTGGCACAGGAGGTACTGCGACCATGGGTTTTCATGTCAGACTCGTGTTTCAAGTCAGTTTCTGCCAATGGCAGTTATTAAAGCTCTCTAGCTTTAGTTTCTTAACTGATAATGTGCATACTTAAATTAGGACAGTAGTTTACATATAATGTTTCCAGTGGAGAAAAGAAAGCCCACATGCTGAGCACCAAACAAGTAACACTGGATTTTAAACATCTAGAGGTAATCAGTTAACCTTAGCAAAAATAAAGTTTTTAGCAGATGGCTTTAGTCTGCAGCTAGCAGCAAAACACCTAGTAGAGATCGCTTGATACAAAATAAAAAGCCTTATATATTTTGGGTTTGGGATAAATAACTTCCTACCTGTAGTTGTATACCTAAAGGTCACTTACTTCAATCTACATTTCTTGATTTATGGCTATCAGGCTATTTTCTACATATGCCAACATATAACAAATGGCATGAGCTTAACCATCAATATTGGCTAAAGACATCAAGAGAAATGACGGGCCATTTAGTTGCCTACCATTTGCTGGTACCACACTGTCCTCTAGGCTGCCCTTATTCCCCTCCTCTTCTTGGGAAATCCCATCTTGAGATAATCAGCAGCAGAACCAGCCTGCTCTTCCTATCAGCTATAATGGCAAAAGTTTCCAAAAGGGTCCCATTTCCTGAAAGAGTCCTTACTCTTCCCACAGCCTGATGCTAACACACTCTGACAATCATACTAATTACAGAAAGCTTTTTGTCAATTGCGGTCCTTAGCTGGATGGTTAATAGAGTATGCTTTTATCTTCAAAATAAATGGGCCTTTTTTAAAATTATGTTGTCAGATGTAATTATAGAAAACTGGGTACAAATGAGATTATAGAATCTATCCTGAGGGGCAACTTAACACAACGGAGCCTGTCTTCCACTCTAGCAAATAAGGTCATCTGAAGATGTTGTTTTCCCCTTGATTCTAATGAACAGTGTAATGTTTTAAAACATGTTTTTACAAAAGCAACAATTATTCAGTGAAATCTCATTATAACAGTTAGTAAAAATCTAAACATTAAAATATGTCCCATTCTTCTTCTGCTATATTTAAAGATTTAAATTATGGAATACTACAAAAATATAAAATAAAATTGAAACATATTGCCAAGACATCACAGACTTTAACATG